AGGGGACGGCCAAGATTAACCTGGTGCAAACATATGGAAGGAATCTGTTCCAGATTGCATTTGTCTTTTGTTGAAGTTCAGACTCTGGCACAGGATCGGGAACGTTGGAAGGAGTGTCTGACGCGTCTGCCTCCGCGACCCGAAAGGAGAAGCGGCGATGAAGATGAGGATGACTGATGCGTCTCAGCCACACGACGCCGATGCTGCACCACTGCTGGTGGTTGAGGACGTGGTGAAGCTGGTGATTGGGCTGCAGTCTTGGGTCGTATAAGTGGTTTGGTGAATGTGCTCTTATGAGTCAAAGGGTTTCCACAAATAATTAAGCTTTTTATGACAGAACGACCTAACGGACGCCTGCTAGTCGCCCGTTGTCCTCCACACGGTCAATATCACGACGGCCAAGTACGCCTGGCCAGTTGCTGTGCTCGCCGTCCACCTTAGCATTGATGTCTCCGGTGACAGTTCAGCTTCGTGACGAGATACGCCAACAGCTGACTGCAAGCAGTCATATAAAGCGTCTTTATAGCTGTCACTGGACAACTTGTGACTAGCAATTGAAAAACGATTTTTAGCAAGAGTTAATTTTGATGAAGAAGGAATCCACTCCAGTTTGCTGTGATGTAACCAACTGATAAATGCTTAGCAAGTCGTTAATCTGCGAATAATATAAACATCACAGCATGTTATGAGGTATAACGGTAGTTATCTAATGGGTAGTCGTAACAGAATAGCATGGATAATGGATAGCATCTACGGTCATGCTGTGTGATACGAGTACTCTACGGCTGCAAGTTGTTCTGATCCCCCCCGTAATAAATAAAAAGTGAAAAAACTGAATAATTTATACTCAATTTCGAAGACTTGACAAATAGGTACTGCAAAACTCATGGCACAAAATGGAAAGAAAATCATTCCAAACGTGAACTTACTGACTATGTCGACGAGGTCCTTCCTCAAGGTAGGCTCCCCTCCGGTGAAACGTATCTTTGTGACGCCGTTCTT